CAAGAGTAATTTTATACCGCCCCCGTTATGTTTATGTTAGCAACAAGCAAATACTAATCAAACATTCTGAATATTAATCTCATACCACATTCGCATGTCTCCTGATAGTAATCTCATGGCAGGTAGCCTAGGACGTACGTATCATCGAGATTTATTACTCTAGGGTGCATTTTAGAACTGTCACGAGAACGGCAATGGGATGGAGCAAACGTTACGGGCTGGCACGAACGACATGGTTCCGCTGAAATTATTCATAGAAGACCTTGCTCAAACGAATTGGTTTGTGTACCCTTTCGTACTAGACACGGAGCCGATCCAACCAATACGATTCTGTTGACCACGCCCGAAATGCTTCAATGAGTGAGTTTTCGAATTTCGAACACTCAGGTGTCAAAAAGTTTATTTCGAAAATGGAAATTTCAGTTTTAGCGACTGAAAGTTGAAAAAGTTTCTACGATAAGTTTTCGAATATGAAACGCCTATTAGCTTTTTAGGTGGTAAGTTTAAAATTGCCCTTCACGAATTCGAATTAGAATCTGGCTTTATTTTAGACCTGAAACCAATTTAACTTTCACCTTACTTATACTTACGTGTTTTTCGATTTAAATTCAATGTGTGTTTAGAGACGTAATTGTAATTAATATTACTTTCTGTTGGATAATTATATCTTGGTCGTTTCAATAAATCTTTTTATAGATATACATACACTGTTGTTTTAATGGCGAGTCAAGAGAACTGCAGACTTTTTTGCTGGTATAACCAGGCATTCCATCTTAATCCTAAGAAATGATGATTCATTCTTACTCGAGGATAAATGTATTTTTGGGCCATAGCATTTTTTTACTACTATAAAACACACATTGTTAAAAAAATATAAAAGAAAATAACGCATTCAAATTTACAAGAATTATTACGACAGGGATTGGTAAAGTACTCGTCATAATGTAGGTTAATATAAAATCATTTTATATAATTATTCTACAAGGTTCCCTGAGACGGCAAAGATATTATCCGTGCTGTCAGCTGTAACTTGCTTACTCATTTATCTGTGCATTTTTTTTCTCTGATAGGATGTTTGAATTCCAAATTTGGTTATTCGAAAAGACATTCTCTAACATTTTAAAAAGTTGAAGATCTTTTAATTGATAATAGTAATAAATAATATTATTATGGTGCTCGAGATTTTTTATAAAATTATTATTTTAGCTGTTTTTCCTAGTGTTATTAATTTTGGCACAAATTGATCGGCATTTGAGTATTACTGCCACACACAATTCCACCTAGCATATTTGGGTCCCATGTAGAGTAAGCTAAGAAGAATTTTGATGATCTCTATTTGCGTACAGCAAGAGTGGAATGATTTGCTTTATTTGAATGATTCTATCTTTCCATCCAATAAAAACACTTTCTGTTTTCAAGACAAGAGCGAATAGGATTTTGTTACCTTTTTGCGCGACTGATAACTTGTCCTAATAAACTAACACTTTTAATAAAAACAAAAAGCCGACTTCAAACAACTCAAAAGGGTAAAATAATTTCCGCATAATAGCGTCAGAGCTCGGTGCTAAGATATAGTGTATAAAAATATAAAGGCCCATCAAAAGCTCGGATGTCGCCTAAACAGTCACAGTAAAAATTTTATCCCTTATTGTTCCAATTTTTGATCCAAATTTGTACGGGATTACGCCTGAGGTATAACATTATTTATTTAAAAAAATAATCATTCACTATCGAATAAGATTTCAAGTAACATAAGTTGTTAATTATTATTATTATTAATATATATATAATTATAAATATAATTATTATTTTGGGTTATTGATAGAGTAATCTCATCTGGTTGGGCTGGATAAATAAATAAAAGGAAAAAATAAATATACTTAAATATATATTTACTATACTAACATAAGTAAATAACGGGAAAGAAACCGGCGGACGATGCGGGCGGTATCGAGGAGCACCGCCTTCTGCATTTGAGCCCGGAGCGGTCCGTCACGGAGTCCCAGTCGCCTCAGATGGCCCGAGAGGCTGGCTGGGATTAACCCATTTGCAGACACGACTACAGGAATAATTTCGGTCGGCAGACCACCCCACATGTCGGTCACCTCGTGAGCCAGGTCCAGATATTTTGATTGCTTATCTGTTTCGGCTTTGACGAGGTTCTCGTCATACGGAATAGTAATGTGGGCCAAAAATATCCTTGACTGTGCCCGATCCATCAGCACAATATCAGGCTTATTCGCAAGAATAGTCCTGTCTGTGATGATGGCGCGGTCCCAATAGAGCCTGGCGCGATCATTTTCGAGCACGGCTTCCGGCAAGTACTTGTAATACGGCAATTTCTGATCCACGAGATCGTATTTCAGAGCGAGCTCCTGGTGAAGAATTCTGGCTTTCTTTTCTATTCTGTACTAGGTTGTGCCTGTGCAAGTACTCAGAGTTAGAAAGCGCCGAACAACCGGAGATGACATGCCTAAGTGACTAACCGGGATGGCGACAAGCTCGACAGATGTCGACGGTGCCATCCTTTAGGATGTATCTCCGATATTTGTTGGTCTTAATAACCTGATCCTGTATTGCACAGACAAAACCCTCGGTTTCCCCCGAAGAGGTCACCGAAACGTAGCCAGTTGAGGGAGGCGACTGTATCTACTAGGGGCTCATGTAGAGCCCTGTAGTACCTCCCGTGGAGCTCCTTCTCCTTCCATACGGTCTCCCGGTCGGAAATGCTAAGCTCTGCTGGGTCCTGCCATTGCTCGTTGGCTAAGGATAGAGGGGTAAGCCCTTTATCACTAGAAACGACATCATTATAGAATGGATCATCCGATCTCGCCAGGAAGTAATCATGGAGGCTACACACTTCACGATTATGCATGGTGAGCACGCTCAGAAAGCACGCCCACCATGCTTTCGCGGCAAGTACAGCCTCATTATCGACGATCTCGGATGATGCATCCTATGGGACGTCATTGTAGTGCGGACTTTTCTATCCAGGGCGTTAAGTTCAGTCTGAGTCCACCTGAGTATGCCAAAGGTATACATGAGAACAGGCATGACCCAGCCGTTTTATGCGTGTGACTTATTCACACCGGACAAAAGGCTGTTAAGCACTTTGGTCAAGCGTGCATAAAACACGTCGCAAACTGACTGTTTCATACCAGCCTCATCGATACCGATGTTCTGTGACATACCCAGGTATCGGTATGTTTCAGCCTTGGAAAGGATCCTTAAGTTGACGGGCATAGATAAGTCTATGCCCTCTGAGTTAACAACCCTTCCCTTTTCAACATGGAGGACCGCACACTTATCCCCAGCTCCATTCCAATAGAATTGCTAAATTCACAAGTGATGTTTAGCAATTCCATAAGAAGGGTCCGACTGGAGGTGAATAACTTGAGGTCATCCATATAGAAAAGGTGGGTCACTTTTGTACATCCTTTCCGAAGCTGAAATCTCCTCCCGGAGCCCTCTAGTAAAGTACTGAGAGGGTTCAGAGAGAGGCAAAACCAGATTGGACTCAGACAATCGCCCTGGAAGATACCCCTTCTTATCCTTATGTGGTTCTCCGCAGCCATCATCTGCTCGCCCAGATAGCAAAGGATCGTACTCCAGTGACCCATACACTGCTCGAGGAAGTCTCCAACTGTACACTCAATCTTGTACAGCTGGAGGACTTTCTTTAGCCATTTATGGGGCACCGAGTCGAATGCCTTTCTGTAGTCTATCCAGGCGCCGGAGAGGTTCCGACGGTTGCGTTTCAACACTTTGCCAATGACGGCGTCAATGAGGAGTGGTTCCTTGGTTCCATGACCACCGCTCCGACATCCATTTTGAGCGCGTGATATCACCTGATTTAGCTCCAGGTGACGAGTGATTCTTGCACTCAAAATGGATGTCATTGTCTTATATATGGTGGGTAGACACGTGATGGGGCGGTAAATGCTCGGGTCTGTGGTATCCTGATCTTTAGGAACCAAGTGAGTGATCCCAGTAGTGAAAAGGCTCCGGAGCGACTTCTGATCGAGAGCCTCTTGAAACTGTCGGGCGAGCACAGCGTGACACACTACGAACCCCTTCAGCCAGTAATGATGCAGCCCGTCGAGCCCCGGACTTTTCCAGTTCAGGGCCCTACGGACCGCCTCAGCCACGTCTTCAGGCGTTATAGTGACGGGGTCCATAGGCGTAACACTTGCACTCTGGCTCGCCACAACTTCCATCCAAGGACCCTCGCTGTGGTTTACGGGCTATGAACACAGGCCACGCCAAAATGCGACAGTGTCAGCCTGATCCGGTCCTGGGCCCGCTCCACATACCTCTGGTCGCTCCAATGATTTACAGAGCCTCTTCTGATCACTATGGAAGAGACGATTCTGGTTGAACCGCCTTGACCTCTCGCTAAATTGTCGAATCCGCTTCCCCCAAGCAGCAATTTTTCAGCTTCAGGTCATATCTATGCGCTTCGTTAGTTTCTGCGTGATATCCGGCTGGGACAAACTAATATTTGTCCCAGCAAACGCAATTCTAACGGTGCGCATAACTCTCGGTCTATCCCGACCTGAAGTTTGTAAGTCTGCCGATAAGGGCCCTTGCCTTTGCAATACCGTCCTCGATTCTTTTTCTCCAGGCTGGGATGGCGCTACTTTGTTGAGTAGCACGTCCAGCCATGGGAAGTTTGGCGCCAATAATACGGCATACTGCCAGTGCGGCGTCAAAAAGAATCGAGTCAGTTTTGCAAAGGTGCCGGCTGGTTTCCAAACAGGTCACCAGCATTGGGTTAAGAGCCCGCACGACAGATTTCGATTGCTAAGGGGTATGCGGGGAAGTCGCGGTCGATTTTCGAGAGGCATGCTGCGCGTTTCCAGCATCAACTTTTCCAATATGCTCCTCATTTTCTCTAGTTCGTGGGAGACTATTCCATCATCGTCTGAATTAACCACAAATGGAATATTGACGGTAGCATCCACATATGCAGTTTGCTGCGCATCTAGTGGCGCCGCATTTCAAACCGTAGCATTTTTATCTGATGAGAGAACAGCCTCACGTCGTAGTCGTTCGAGTTCGGCGTCACCAAATATGTTGGAGCGCAGGATGTACCGAACTCGGTCTGCCAGGTTTTGCTCAGTGACGGATAGAGATGGCTCCAGCTCTGCAAAAAAGCGATGCATCCGAGCCCGATACGCCAAACATCCAGTTTCTTCCCCTTTTGCCCTAAAGTACGCCCGCAGTGCGTTTGCGTTCATTAATTGTGACCAACGCATGCGACGTGCTCCACCAGCGGCGGGTGCCGCTTGCTGAGTCCGAGAAGACCCAGCCGACACCAAGCCTTCAGGTGGGGATGATGGATGCGGGGGGCTGCCAGGTGGTCTTGCAGCAACCCGCGCTCGGCTGGCGGCCCGCATGCTGTCGCGTCCAGCGCCAGCTCCAGACGCGCCCTGGCGACCTCCATCTTTGCGCATCTTTTTTTCCATCATCCGTGGTTTCGGGCCCGGCCCCGTATCGTGCACGGCCATAAGCACAAACGGGCCTTTGCACCCTAAATTCTGCCGAGGCACGGCGCTGACTGACTGCGTTGACGTAGCAGTTTTGTCATTTAACTGTTACGTCAGCGGGCGATGGGATCCTCAATTCCCTACGCCATTTAATTAATAAAATTATTATTATTATTAAACAATTATTATTATTTACGGGAAGCCTACGTCCGGCAGGTGACTTGTAAGTGTGACTTGATGGTCGTAATAATGATGATGATAAGGATAACTTTCTAATAAAAGCATCGCAACTATTGCTTGTCCCATTGACGACAAATTAAATTCAAAATGGTACAAGAAATAAATAGAATTTACAATAAATACAACATTACTCAGCCTTTTTTTAACTTACAATAATAATAGGAAATAATCCCGATATTCTTACAGCAGATATTTCCACAGTATCCTATTTCAAGTACCGTCGTATCTCATTACTATACCCTGCAGAGTTTATTTATGAATATGTCACAAACAAAAAGTATCCCCCTACTGTAGCCAAGATAACAGGCCCCCGTATAGGTGTTTCGGCAGGACCCTCGTACATCGACATTGTAACCATTTTATTCAGAGCTAGAAAGATAAATTAAGATGGTCACTTGAATGTGTTTGCTGTTTAAATATTGTTATTGATATTAATATTTTTATGTTTATTACTACAACTACCACCACTACTACAACTACTGCTACTCTATTATTCTTCTTTCTTTATCAATTTGTCTTCTCCGCACATTGCTACCCAAACATATTCATTCATAAAAAGGTTATTTAAAATCTTAATTTAAAACAAAATATCTATAATATATATACTCCAAATCAGTGACTAACTAATCGTAGAGTAATTATTTCGGTTGCTTGCTAGCGATCCGAATACGAAAGATCTACTGATGTAGCGTTACTTAGATTTAAGTTAATCATTCAAAACCATTTAAATGAAACTAGTTTTTACGGATTTTATCGCGTATATTAACTTATTTTATATTCCCGGCGTTTCGAGTACTTTACAGCACCCATGGTCACGAGGAGGACTGAGGTGTTAGAGGTCCCAATGTCATAGTTAACCACGGCTACCTCCAGATTAAAATTAATAATTTTTGTAATGATCTACTTACTTGTAACTTGAACTTAAAGTATCTTGAAGTTCTGCAGTTGTATGCTTAGGTTGGGATTTAATTTTATTAATTATAGGATCCCAAGCAATGGTAGCGCCCAGCTATCTTCTCTATTGAAATTAGGATGTTTTTTGATTTCAATAGCCCCGCGAATCATCTTTGGAAGGAATCGGTGTTCTTTAGTGAGGATTTGTGGTCTATCAATCCGATGTAGTGACGAGGATGGTCCTCTATGTTTTTACAGACTGCAGACTTCCCGGAGCGTAAATTCTTCACATCAGTTACTTGCTCGTTAACGCAGGCTTTGATTGATACGAGTAGTTGTTGTCCTATGTAAGAAAGACCACATACTCAATCAAGCTTCCTGCTTCTTGCAGAAGGACATTACACTTGACTGATGGCTATCTACACACACTCATTAATATATATGTGTTATCACGATCCCGAATAATCCTCATAACACCTTGGGCCACCATCTTTCACAGTTAGCTAACGTGGGTAAATCTTTGTTTCAGAGAGCACGAGGGATCTGTGACAGAAAGCACCTGGCTCCAACACGTCAAGTAAGTTTTGCATGACAAGTATGTTCATGTCACAGTGTACATCACAGTGAACGAGAGAATCTGGCCACAGTCGAGTGTGTGCCTGCTGTATTGCCATACGTCAGAGGTGTCACTGATAAGGTTGGCTACATTTTGAAGCGTGCTTCCATTAAAATATAATTCAAGCCGAAGAAGATGACTAATCTTCTTCGGCATCTTAAATTATGTTTTAACCATTAGCCAATGCAGAAGTATACAAGCATGAATGTGAATGTGGTCTCTTTTTCATAGGACAAACAAAAAGATCAATAAAAACCCGCGTTAAAGAACACATAGCTGATGTGAAGAATCGACTCTCCGGGAAGTCTGCAGTCTGTGAACTCGCACAGGATCGCTCCTGTTACTATATCAGATATGATAGACCACAAATACTCGCTAAATAACCCTGATTCCTTCCAAAGATGGTTCGCGAGTCTATTGAAATTAAAAAACATCCTAATTTCCATAGAAAAGATGGCTGGATCCTATAATTAATAAAATTAAATCCCAACCCAAGCATACAACTGCAAGAATTCAAAATACAATAAGTTCATAATGCGTAGATCGGAATAAATATTAACAATTTTAATCTGAGGTAGCCGTGGTTAACAAGGACACTGGGACGTAGAATACCTTAGTCTTAGTCCCCCCGTGAATATGGGTGCTGTAAAGTGCTCGAAACGTTGGGACTATGAAATACGTGAATATACACGATAAAATCCGCAAAACCTAGTATTATTTACATGTGTTGTGTTCGCGTAAATATAAGAAATCATTCAATATCATTTATTTGAAAAAAATTCCGAATCCTCAAAAAACAAACTCGAAGTATTTCGTATAAAATATAGCCTAGCTCACTCCTGGCATTGCTCGCTATCTGCTATCTGTTACTGAAGTTTCATTACAATCGTTACAGCCAATTCGAAGACTAGCTTGGACAGATAGACATACAGATAGAATAAAAAAATGGTTGTTCATATCTCAATGATATAATACAAAAAACCCCTCATCTCAATAAAAGTCAGTTAATTCGATACTACAGAAAAACACTTCATTTTTAAAAGTGTAAGTACATTCGTTTGTAGCGTTCATTCATTTAAGTTATTATTTATTGCGCATCATAATAAAAAAACGGCCAAAAATTTTAGTTAAAAGATATTATTCTAGAGAGTCATATTGCTGACAGCAATCTCTTTTAGACAACCAATGGATGGACAGTTCATTAAAGAAAGATTATGTTCATATTAACTTCACGCGTAACAAGTTTAATTAATATTCTGTATAACTTAAGCATCGTGTTATTGTTTAATAAAAATTGAGAATGTTATTGCAAAAAATTGTAATTTATGTCAGCGAGCTGAATAAAAAAAACAATTACTTAAAAACCTTTGCCCCTTACAAACATTCAACCGTTACTCAATAAAGGGACGCACACACTTGAATAAATTGGAAATTTGTAACACCCCAACACGTTCCGGTATCTCCTAGATTTACGACTAACTTATTTCAAACGTAAATTGCTAAAAACCAATGTATGTTAAATCGCGGCGAAGACAAAGTTCAGGGTCGTGTTGGAAATTGGTGATACAAAAACACATTACGGGTAGTATGCATCATCCATTAATTTCTTCATTACATAATATTATTAAAAGTACATACATACATACATACAGGCACGCTCACACCTGTCTTCCATTCACACTTATACATGCTCGTAGATCCCTTACTCTACGTTTGGCCCATCTTCGGTACGTCACTAATTCGTCAATAAACTTTGGTCTAAGGCGTCCCTTCCCTCTACCGTTCACTTCAACATAGATTTACTTTGTCACTCGTTCCTCGTTCATTCTTTCTACGCGACCAAACCACCGAAGCAAACCTTTCTTAATACTGGTCGTAACATCATCTTGGAAACCTCACACTCTTATCACTCAACTTCTCACCCTGTCATTCAGAATCAGCCTTAACATACTTCTTAATGACCATATTTTTACAGCATTTATCCTTCTCTCATCCTTCTTCTGCCACACCTCTTGACTGACAAAAGTTCACTGTAAAACATAAGCCACCTTTATAGATTGCCTCACAGGAACAGAATCAGGAAGATTCATTCATTTAACTTAATTATTTTGATGAATGAATAATTATAGCCCACCAAAAATTAACAGCTGAATATAGGTTTCACCCATTGTTTGCTTCATAGGGTATAATTTGTTATTAGAAGGATGCTGTTGATGCCACGGGATGATATGGGATAGTGGATTCTCTTAAGCAGCCACTACATAGGCAGGGATGTATCATCACTCATTAGTTCATATAAATTCACGGTGATGAATCTGCCCAAGGTCACCATCTCTACTGGGCTTGGTGAGTCTACTACGGAAGTGTGTAAGTGGACTACAACGAGCAGGGAACGGTGGTTAAGCTGCGTGGGGAGAATAGTACCGGTATATTTTTATGACAAGTTCCGCACACACGCGCGCACGTGTGTGTGTGTGTGTGTGTGTGTGTGTGTGTGTGTGTGTGTGCCTTTGTGTTTATTAAATACCTTGTTATCAGTTATGTAAAACGCAAAATCCTCTGCCTTTTTAATAACGATGTATACATGAATATTATATTTTTAAGGCGAACGTTAGAGTTGGACAGGTCGTGATCATTCATATTTTTTATAAAACCTGAAGTAACAAACAAAATTACAATCGACCTGGTGGTAAGTGGATCTGCAGCTCAATGAATACCTGCAACTAACTTCAAACTAATAAGGCTACAGTTGTGGTCACATCTGAGGAATAAGATGGAATGCCTTATGGTCTTTAATTATACTTGCCCTTCATTTAATAAAAATAATAGTGAAGGCACTGTTTTTTTCGATGTGAAAGACGTTTTTGACAGCTAAAATAGGACGGAGTCGTTGGAAGCCTTCCTAACACTCCTGGTATAATAATTTATATCAAACAATGTATAAACATACGAAAGCACTTATGAAGTAATGTCAGCGACAGTAGGTTGTGATAAGGCTGGGGTAGCCCTTGGGTCACACTAACGTTAACGATTTTTATTATACATAAACTCTCACGCCTGTCACCCAGAGGGGTAGGCAGAGACTACAGACGACGATCCTGACACACCTCTCTCGCCTCCTTCACGTCTACATACCTACATGCTCGTTGGTTCAGGGTACTCCTAATTTGGCCCGTTTTCAATAAATCGTTAATTTGGTTGATAAATTTCCGCCTAGGATGTCCCTTTCCGACTCTGCCATTCACTTCTGCAACATAAATTTTCTTTGTCA